ACTACTGTTATTTAAAAAAAAAATAATTTCACACTAAAAGAAACAGACATTGATAGTCTTTGGAGTGGAAGCTCGAAGAGGGAAGGGGAAACCGTAGGCTAGAATAGAGATAGGTATTAATCTGTGTGAAAGGTAAAACAATATCCAAGAAGAGGGAGATGGACACAACAATTATGGAAATGGGGCAAACCACTAAGAGGGTTGATAAGTTGAATATAAAAGTGCTGTTCTGCTCTGTGAACTTTTATATAATTCACAATAAAAGTTGTTTACATGACACACCATCTAGAAAGTGAAAAGACAACCCATAGGGTGAAAGAAAATAATGGTAAGGCATGGATCTGATAAAGAGCTTAAGGGAATATATGAAGAACTCTTGCAATTCAATTATTAATTGATAACCTTAATTACAAACTAGAGTAAGAATTAAATAGACTGTTCTCCAAGAAGATTTGAAAGTCATAATAAACATATAAAAATATTCTCAGAATCATTAGTCATTAGGGAATTGCAGATCACAATGAGCTGCTACTTCATACCTAGTAGGATAGCAATAATAATAACAATAAAATAACAAGATTGTTATTAGTGAAGATATGAAGACATTGGCCTCATTCATAACTGGGTAACAGTTTGGTAGTTTCATAAGTGCTAAACAGAGTTATCACATAAACTAGCAATTCCATTTCTAGGTAGATAATAGAAAGAAAGGAAAACGTGCCTAACCAAAACTTGTACATGAATTTTTCGTCATAGCATTATTTGTAATAACCAAAAAGTAAAAACAATCCAAATACCTGTCAGTTGATGACTGACAAAACGACATGTTGTATATTCATGCACTGGAATGTTCAACAATAAAAGGAAATATGGATACAGCTAGAACATGAGTTAGTCTGGAAAACATGTTAAGTGAAAGAAGTCGGCTAAAAAAGACCACCAAAACCAAACCACATTCATTGCCATTGTGCCGATTGCAACTCATAGAGACCCTATAGGGCAGGATAGAACTGGTCCTGTGGGTTTCTGAGACTCAAACTCTTTACAACAGAGCCGTGCTGGTAGTGTACTGGTTAGGCATTGGGCTGTGATCTGAATGGTTGGTAGTTCAAAACCACCGGCAACTCCTTGAGCAAAAGAATGGGTTTTCTAGTACTGTAAATAGTTATAGTCTCAGAAACCAAAATGGGTAGCTAAGTCAGCATTGATTCTATGGCAGTGATTTTAGAACTCTTTTTAAAAAATAAATAATTTTATTGGGGGCTCTTATAACAATCCATAAATCCATGTGTCAAGCATATTTGTACATATATTGCCATCTTTTCCAAAACATTTTCTTTCTACTTGAGTCCTTGGTATCAGCTCCTCGTTTTTTCCCTCTCTCTCTCCCCATCCTCCCACCATCATGAACTCTTGACAAATTATAAATTATTATTTTTATATCTTACACTGTCTGCTGTCTCCTTTCACCCATGTTTTTGTTGTAGTAACTCAGGGGAGGGATTAATACATCAATCATTGCAATCAGTTTCCCCTTTCTTCCCCCACCTTTCCCCTACCCTCATGGTATTGTTACTCCCATTATTGTTCCTGAGGGGTTTATCTGTCGTGGATTCCATGTGTCTTATTTGTACCAGTGTACAATCTCTGGTTTAGTCAGATTTGTAAGGTGAAATGGGTCATGATAGTGAGGGAAAGGAAGCATTAAAGAACTAGAGGAATATTGTATGTTTCGTTGGCGCTATACTGCACTCTGGCTCACTTGTCCATTCCTTGTGACCCTTTTGTGAAGGATGTCCACCTATTTACAGATGGACTTTGGGCCTCCACTCCGGCTCCCCTCATTTGTATCAATACAATTGTTTTGGAACTTCTGATGCCTGATACCTGATCCCATCGACACCTTATGATCTCACAGGCCGGTGTGCTTCTCCCATGTGGATTTTGTTGCTTCTTAGCTAGATGGTCACTTGTTTTCCTTCAAGCCTTTAATAGCTGGGTACCATCAGCTTTGTTCACCACATTTGCTTATGCATCCATTTTGTCTTCACCGATTGTGTCAGGAGGGTGAGGATCACAGAATGCCAGGTTATTAGAACAAAGTGTTCTTGTATTGCAGTAGTACTTAAGTAGAGCCCAATGTCCATATGCTTCCTCAATACTTAACATACAAATATATGTATATAGACCTATATCCGTATTGTTATATATAAATATATTTACATATGTACATGCCTGTATTTATACCTCTATAAATGTCCTTTGGCTCCTAGTTCTTTCCTCTATTTCCTTTTATTTTCCTTCTGTCCCACTATTATGCTCAACCTTCATTCAGCTCTCAGTATTTCCTCTCAGCTACATTGCACTTGATCAAACCCCACCAGGTTTTCTATGCCCTCCTCACCATCGATTTTAGATCATTTGTTGTTCCCTTGTCCCTGGGTTTGTTGGTTATCTCCTTCCTTTCCCCCACCTCTCCATCTCCCATGTCCCCCTGAAACCGTCAGTTCCATTGTTTTCTCCACAAGAAAAAAAATGTCCATGTCAGTCGGTTGACACTTAGGTAGATTGAGCCTGATCAATCGAGTCTGATGAGGTGCCAAGCCCTGCCCCTGAAATCTATTTTGGGGATTCCTCAGGGACTTCATTGCTTTGCTCCCCTTGCTATTCTGTTGCTCTCCCTTTGTGTTTTGTCCCGGGGTGTGTGTATGTGTGTGGGGGGAGATCAGACTGGACACAATTCCCGCACTATGTCTCCAGTGTTGTTCCCCATAACACTATGGGTCAGTGAGATGATGCCATGTCTTGTGGTGGGGCTGGCCCTATGGTCCTTGGAGCTTGATGGGCCAGGATGTGGTTCTCTCTCTCTCACTTTCTCCTTCCCTCTTAGTTTGTTCTCTTGAGCAGACCTGCCTCACTCCTTGGCTGTATCTTCAGTGCTGTCCTCTGTGGTGCATTCTTCTGGGGAGGGTGTCCATGTAGCTGGGATTGAGTTGAGAACTCTTTATAGGAGTAAAATGACTTATCTTTCTCCCAAGAAGCATCTGGTAATTTTGAACTGCTGACTTTGCAGTTAGAAACCCAATGTGGAAAAAAAAAAAAAAGAAACCCAATGTGTAGTCATTACATCACCAGAGTACATAATTGTACTTATATGAAATCTATGGAATAGGCAGATTTATAGAGATAGAAGTAGATTAGTGATTGCCTTGGGCAGAGAGTGACTACTAATGGTTATGGGGTTTCCTTAGTTAAAAAAAATCTAAATTTGATTGTAGTGATAGCTGTACAACTTTGAATATACTAAAAGCAAAAAAGTGGATAAATCTTATGGTATGTTAAAGAGATCTCAATAAAACTGTTAACAAAAAAGTTTACTTGCCTCCCAATATGTTATCTGTGCTTCTAGTTTAAATCTAAGTCTCCTTTCTAGAAATTGTCAGTGAGGAGTAGCAATTTATCCATTTCATTATTCTTGTACTCTTAACTACACAGTTGTAATTTTATCTTTCTAAGGTACTCTAGGTAGCACAAGTGGCTAAGCACTTGACTGTTAATCAAAAGGTTGGCATTTTGAACCTACCCAAGGTCACCTTGGATGTCAGGTCTAATGGACTACTTCTAAAATATCAGGCATTAGAAACCCTATGGAGCACAATTCTACTCTTGACTCACATGGAGTTGCTGTGAGTCAAAGTTAATGGCAACTAACAACAGTAATAACAGCAGTGATTCATCTTGCATGGCTTTTGGCTGTGCTTGCTTCTCCTAATGTATGTTTCTAAGTAGAAACAACATTATTACCAGTAACCTAGTTTCAATCTAATGCTATACTGAACCCAATGTTTATGGATTAGTGAGTCTTATTTTTAAGGAACATAAAGGTTATTAAGATGGTTGCCTTTTTTTGTCCAGTGTGATTTAAATGTATAATTGCCGTAAAATTATGGTTTGTATGGCTTAGAAAACATAATTTGCATATCTTAGAAAATGATATGAACCTATATTTCAAAGTCGGTAAGCATTCTGACACTTTAAGTTTGTTGGTTTAAATATCATTAACCTTAAAACAAAGATTTGAGCCTGTACTACATATAAGGAGTTGTGTTGAGTTTCTAGTAAGATACAGAAATTTATAACATTATACCTATTGTTAATAATTAGACATAAGCTCGAAGGGATCAGGTATCAGGCATCATCAGAACAAAAAATCATATCATTGTGAATGAATGGGGGAGTGCGGAGTGGAGACCCAAAGCCCATTTGTAGGCCACTGGACATTTCCTTACAGAAGGGTCTCAGGGAGGAAATGAGCCAGTCAGGGTGCGATGTAGCAATGATGAAACATACAACTTTCCTCTAGTTCCTAAATGTTCCCTCCCCCCAACCCCAACCCCAACCCCACTATCATGAGCCCAATTCTACCTTACAAATCTGGCTAGATCAGAGGATGTACACTGGTACAGATAGGAACTGGAAACACAGGGAATCCAGGGTGGATGATCCCTACAGGACCAGTGGTGTGTGGCGATACTGGGAGGGTGGGGGGAGGGTGGGTTGGAAAGGGGGAACCGATTACATGGATCTACATGTGACCTCCTCCCTGGGGCACGGACAACAGAGAAGTGGGTGAAGGGAGACATCAGACAGGGCATGATGTGACAAAATAATAATTTGTAAATTATCAAGGGTTCTTGAGGGATAGGGGAGCAGGGAGGGAGGTGAAAAAATAAAGGACTTGGGTGAAGAGTGGATGTTTTAAGAATGATGAGGGTAATGAATGTACATATGTGCTTTACACAATTGATGTATGTATGGATTATGATAAGAGTTGTATGAGCCCCTACTAAAACGATTTAAAAAATAATTAGACATAAGCACTAACATGAGTTCTGGGGCCATCTGGAAGATTGAAAATGGGTCTGAATTCTTCAGAAAATCTTTTTTTGGGAATGAGACTTGGAGATAGATTTTAAAAAATCATTCTTTTTTTTTTTTAGGTACAAAATGCAAAACATGAACGACAATATATATAACCAACGTTCAAAGCTGATTTGGCTAGAACTAGAATACCTTTCCTTACAACATATTCCAGAAGAATTAGAAAAGTCAAAGTAATGGATAACAAAAAACGACCTCCATTCTTCAATGAAGATGATGTGGGGCCATTGTACTACAAATTCCCTTTCTCTGATGCCATGGAGCTCTTCATTGAAACCCTGACTGGAACTTGTTTTGAGCTGAGAGTTTCACCTTTTGAAGCTGTCATTTCCGTGAAAGCAAAAATCCAAAGATTGGAAGGTACTAGTCTATTTTTGGGGGTCCATGTTAAATTTATTCATTAGCAGTGTATGATAATTTTAAAACGTTTATTATAGAGGCGTTTTTAAATATATGGAAGTAGAGAGAAAGTATCTCCCACATACCTACAACTCAGCTTCAACTGTAGACTCATGAAATATCCTTGTTTCACTCCTCAGTTTTTCCCATTTTCTACTAGATTCTTTTGAAGCAAGTCTCAGGTGTCATATGAGTGATGAAAAACAATACGTTAATAGTTTCCTATCAGGTTATGGTGACTTACAAATTCTGCCATAATTATCTTCCAGTTCCTTTTAGTTGGAAAACGTAATTGCATTCCTTTTGGTAACCTTGCTTACCTTTTCTTTATACATATAACAATATTTTTTCTTGTTTAAATCTTGAGATTTTCTGAGAAGTTTTTTTGGTTACATTTATCAATATTTTATTTTCTCTCAGTATAACAATACTTAACATAGTACAGTGTCTCTTTTATGCTTTGTGTTTGTGAAAAGTTCCATAAGTTACTTTGTATTAAAATTAGAAACTTACTTTTTTATTGTACTTTTTATGTTTCTGATATAAGTGGAACTTACTATTTTTAGTTGTTAAAAATAAGGTATGACTAGAAAGCAAAGTTGTTCCATATAACACTTAACCCTAATCTTTCCTGAAAAAAAGGACTTGATTAGCTTGTAAAATGAAAATTCAGAATTCTAAAAGTGTCTAGAGCAGTGTTTCTCAACCTGTGGGTCGTGACCCCTTTGGGAGTCAAATGGCCCTTTCACAGGGCTCGCCTGGTTCATAACAGTAGTAAAATTACAGTTATGAAGTAGCAATGAAAATAATCTCATGGTTGGGGGTCACCACAACATGAGGAACTCTATTAAAAGATCACGGCTTTAGGAAGGTTGAGAACCACTGTTCTAGAGGGTTGCAATGCTTGATCTCTTAAGTCAATGATTCTACTACCTAAGGTTCTAAATATTTGCTGTTCCTCCAGTCCCAGAGAGGTTCTATTGAAACGAGTGGCAGTTGACTCTAATGACTACATTTGGTACAGAAAGTCCCATCACCTGATTTCGTGGAATCAGGAGTCAGAATAATTTATGTTGACGTTATTGTGCTGCTTTAGATAATGGCATGATACAATTTTAAGGGTCACCACCCAATGTCATGGCATCAATAGTGGCCTAGTGTCTTCTATGAGAGAATTGTTGGAGTACTGTAAAAACACTGGCTTTGTAGTTACTAGACAGATGATTCCCATTTTCCAGAAAGCCAAACCCAACCCATTGTCTCAAGTTGACTCAGACTCATAGTGACCCTATGGAGCAGAGTAGAACTGCCCACAGTGTTTCCAAGGCTGTAGTATTTATGGAAGCAGACTGCCACATCTTTCTCCTACAGAAGTTCCAACTTCTGACTTTCAGGTCACAGTCTAGCTCTTAACCACTGACACCACTAGGGCTTTTAATCCCATTTTAGGTATCTACAGTAGAACTCCAGACCCCAACACTAATCCGTTCTGGAAGGAGCGTGATGTGTAGTATTAAATAAAATTGTCGCTGGGGTGGGGTGAGGGGCCAGCCCCCACCCGCTGCTACTTCTACGAGTTCAGTAATACTACCTCTGGGTTCAGTAATGCACAATTGTACGGTTGAGATATATAAGTAATTATATTAAAGTCATTGAGAGCATGAGAGATAATACAATAATACAGTCAGGCATGATACATAGCATCATTGCTCACCTCAGCCCAGCTTGGTGGTCCACGTGGAGAGAGGGGGAAGGGAAGGAGGGGAAGGGAACAAGGGTGAGGGGAGTGACCAGGGAATGAGCAGTAAGGAGCTCAGAGTCAGAGAGAGAAGTCCTGCTGACTCAAACCTATATACCTTTTGGGGGCAATCCAGCCCACTAATTACAGGTAAAGACATA